CAATAAAAGTATGAAAATATTTACAATTTTCGACACAAATAAAAAGAGAAGGAGTTAATAAACAATTTGAAATAATGTTTTCAAATATAGAAATACAATCAAACTTTGATAGATGAGTACCCATAGTATGCTACTTACTGGTATTATTACCTGCTGAAAATATGACATAGGTACCTGTCATTCTTTTATTAATGTTATACATTTTTCATTTAATTTTATAATGGAAAAGTACTTGTGACTTGAGTCATTTTTGTAAACAACATAAACGCTTAACGATCATACAAACGATTCTAAAATATCCAATATGACACATTACAATATAGCATATTACACATTGTAATATCTGGTAAATATCCATCAAGACAAAGATAACTTACTTTATCTGGTATGAAATGAAAAAAAAAAGACTTATTACAATAAATAACATTTTAAAATACTTGAAAATGATGGTCATCTGCAGCAACACATTAATCTTAGATTCATAAATTGCTAATAATTAATAGGAGGAATAGTATAAGTACAACATTTTTGATAGATAAATATGCGTAKGTACGGCTTTTTGGAAGGTATCTATATGCCACACTAGAACCGAAGCTTCTGCAATACTCCAATATCAATTTGTGTGAATAGATTCAATAAAGATTTTTAAAATTTTTTTGAATATGAAGAATGGAATAAAAATAATCATGTAATTTATAAAAACGTTGTGAAAATACCTCTGAAAATTATGCAAGATTAAGAATGAAATTGGTTAAAATTAATTCAAATAATTAATGAAAACAGACGAAGAAAAACGACTGTAGTGGAAAAATAGTGTTTTGCATATTTCGTTGAAGCAAAATATCGTATGGTAATGTATAATTTGTGTGCAATAATGTTTCTTCTTCCTTYAATACCAAGTCAAGTGGTAATATTCGTTGTTAACTGTTTGTGTTTTGATTAAACGTGCATAATGGTAATATTACACACTGAATAATACATTTGGGAAGGATCAAGTTCCGTTTAAGTACCTTTAATAGGTAGGTATATAATCATAGCCCATAGGGGTTATTATAGGGGTCTTTTATATATTTACCTAAGAAATTCTAGATTTACTTTTTATATATGTAATTTTAAAATTATTATAATATAAATCAATTATAAATCTGATGAACATGAATGAGTACAGATAATTTTTCTATTTAAAAATAACCACTTTGCACTAGGTATATTATAATAATACCTACTATGATGATAAATGGAATTAAAATAGAGTGCACTGGTTAGGTTTTGGACTAATGTTTAAATTAACATGTTATTAGTTTTGAAATTTTAAGTATATAATATATATACAATGTATATATTATTGAAAAATTAATTATTATATTACACCGAAATATAATTTAATAATATTAATTATTATTTATTACCATAACAATGGTAGGTTACTCGTGTATGTATGTGATATATTTTTGTGTTATGGGCACATCATAGTTGCTTATAAGCTTAAATTTGTATTAAAATAAATTTCATGATGCAGTTGATGCAGAAAAATTGAATAATGCAATTAAAACACAATCCTGATCAATTAATATTTAATCAYTTTATTTATTATTGTATACGTCACCGAGAAATATTATTATTGCTATTTTTATATAACATAATATGCGCTATAGCTATTCATATTGAAAAATGTTAAATGTCTATCAAAACAACCCTTTATTATGTTGGGAATGATTGGTATAAAAATATCAATATGTAGTCACTATTATAGGTACTGCTTTCATAATGCCAATGCGACCAATGAATGTAGATCATTAAAAGTTTAAAACAACCTTTTCTGTTGCTTATAAGTTTATTTTAGTGTGTAGACTCGGTGAAATAGGTTTAAATACTACAATTTAGGGGTGCACTAAGAAAGGATTGTTAAAAATGCACATTTTAAATATGGGCTCAAATACAGGGGTTTCGTATCGGCAAATTGAAATCAAATATATTTTGTTTCTATAATACAATTTAATAATGTATCACATGGTTGCCATTGGTTACGGAAATAAAATAGATTTTTATAAAATCTGTATATAACTTATAAAAATGAATTTATTATGACCACTCAACAGATTTTGACGAAAATTTCCAATTTTGTATAGCGAGAAGCCGAGAAAACTTAAAGAAGTTTCAACCATGTTCGAAATAAATTCGGTGTCCAATGTGAATTGACCGTCTCGGTCGAATTAGTTTACAACCGAATCTGATTTGTCCGYGAACTGTAGACTGTAGTATCTATAATAACTAAAACCTAGCAACTAAAATTCACATTTTAAAGAGGCACTCAGTGCTCACATGAGGATTTTTGTTTATAGATGGTTTCTTTTGGTTATAAGTTATAAATAGTATTAGAAGATATTAGTATAAATTAGTTGCCATTGATCGTGTTTATGGTTTTGAATAAAGAAATTATAATATCTTAAGTGGATCGTTGGCGAACTATTTTTAAGAAGTTCGAATTGGAAAATTTTCAAATTGCATGTATGCGGGTCATGCACGCGCATGTACAAGTCACCTCTTAGTAGTTGCACGCGTGAACAGTAAACAAATTATGGTCATTTATATAATGTACTTTTTAATAATGAGAAAATTTTCAGAAAACTGATCTGCATTCGTTATAAAGTCTACTGGAAATAATATAGAAATATAATAAGAAATATTCAAACTAAATCTATAGTAGTTGATGATGATGGGGGAGAGGAGGTGGGGATTGAAAGTGGGAAAATTGGATAGACCGATATCAAGTCGACATACCAATGAATATTTTAATCAATTTTAAAAAGTATAATAGCATTAKATTAGGTCGATTTGTATTATGATGAACAAAATATCGGTGTGTCCTTAAGCTTGCACAATATTGCGCACGTTAGAAAAAAAAAGTTAATATTATTATTATTATTACCACTCTGAACTTCATGAGATATGGATTGCCCATTATCTGAGCTTTATTACTTACCTTGGGTAGTCGTTTTCGGGATAATACAGTTATCATCATCATATTATATTTAATTTATTGTATACATTGATATATATATATATATATATATATATACAATTATGCAATATACATATACTCACAAAGTAAATATCTTGTCCCACGTGGGCGCCAACGTTTTGTATTCTGTGTGCGTCTGCAATCGAGCGTTGACCAGCTCGAGCACGCAAAACGGGTCTGACTTGCCGCACAGGTCAGCGGAAGTCAGCCCTAGGGCCTTGTACACGCGGACCGTGAGCACGCCGACGTCGAGTARATCGCAAAACGTCCGGCTGGCCGAGTACTTCTGCCGGATGTGCTCCTGTTCCGTGATTTCACTCTCGTAGTTGGACAARTCTGAYACCATCGCGATCGTCGAYGTGCCGCTGATGGTCAGCAACAGGTACAGTACGCCTCCACCACCTGCACCGGAAGCGTCGCGGTTCTGATGATGGTCTCCGCTTCCGCAATCGTCACCGCCGCCGCCGGCGTTGAGTTTGTATTTGATTTTGTGCGTTTTTTCCCGTTCCAATTTACTCAGGTCCATGACGGTGCTATATTATATAAACAGAAACCGTCGATATATAGGTATACGTGATACGTCTATTGTTTACCGGTATAACGGAAGTACCACTACAGCCCGGTACTTTGAAAATCAGTCGGAACAGTTGATTTAAAAAAAATAGAATTAGACTCTAAAGAAGGATTATATTTCGGTTTTATTTTTCTTATACTATGTCTGTTAGATATATATAATATATATATATATATATATGTAGTACTCGATTGTTTATCAGAATACCTGACATTATTTAATATAACCATTTCCATGTCGATTCTTTAACTTCCAAATAAATAATGGTAGAATAATGAATAAATACATATAATGGACTATTGCAGAGAAATTTTTACGTTGTTTACTGTGTGAATTGAAGAATTTATTGATGTTTTTTTTTTTATATATGTTTTATATTACTTTTAAAACACATTTTTTTGTTTGACGTTAAAACCATTTATTCGAGACTTAAGTAAACTTAACTTGGTATACTCTGATGCACTTTTAATCCCATTTTTGATTTTATCAGTGTTGTTTCTCAAGYGTAAGGAAAAACTCGGGAAAAGTGTTAAAAAATGATGATATGTAAGACACATGGTTAGGCAACAACGAGCTTCACCCACATGAGTTTTTTGTGTACGATAATGGATATTGCTTTTAAATTTAACATAAAAACACACCCGCACGACTCATGTATAATAGCATTTTTTTTTTCAAAAATCGTTAGTGATTTTTGACCTTTGAATATTAAGATAAGAATATTTTATACATAGTTGAACTTTTATGTGTATTTATAATTAATTTATTATTATATTTAAGATTTAAGCATTAATTATTTTTTACGAACAGTATATATGGTTTTATAAACACGTCCTTTAAGAAATTACTGCAGTCTATCTTGCTTGGTTTTRAAAGTTTTTAGTTKAAAATACGAAAATTTATCATAACATTAGTAGGTTATAGGGTTAGGTTTACAAATATTTTGCATTTAAGTCAAGATGGTCGAAAAGAAACCGCATGAGACGATATGTGTCTAAATACTAGGTTTCAATATCGCATTCAGCAGATTCGCAATCAGCAGCTGGCATCATAAAGTTATTTCCTCAAAATCAGACTGTATCATTACAATACTAGGACCCAGGACCCAGGGGTGTACCCAGGAATTTTTCAAAGGGGGGGGGGATTCAAATTTGTTTAACATGTAAAAAGTATAAGAAAACTATATCATAATTCACCTACTTAGATCATTACTAAGATCTAACACCAACCTTCAAAACAAAATCCTTATATAAAAATGTCTCCTCCGACCATTATGGACCTACGGCATGGTACAAATGACCTACAAATCAAAACAGTCCACGACACAGCCATCAATTTCTACGAAAGGTTTCATGGGAAACTCTTCRTGAACCACAACCTCCTCATCACTCAATTAACCTCTAGGAATTTTTCTGAAAACCCTACAAGACGCCTCAAGTACAATTGATGCAAACACCTTCTAAACTTATAAAATATTCTTTTTTTTT